ATTTTACTCCTTTTTACTTGGTTCTGACACCTAGACGTACCCTATCCACTATCCTTCATTTCCTTTCATATATTTTTTTTAGTTAGATTAGGCTTAGATTTAGTTTTTTTTTTTAATCATATCGGACGCTTGTAACCTTAGATTTCAAGGATTTCATATCCATTTTCAATAGATAAACTACTTTTTTTTGTCTCTTCATTTTTAATGTTTATGCTTATTATTTGTGCTTTTGATATGTTTATGTTTAATATGTGTGAGCAGTTAGTTTATGGGCTTAGGTTAGTGTTGTATTGCCTATCTTGATATTATTTTTTGTGATTATTGTATAAGAGGGGTAAAACCCAATCTATGGTTCCTCTTGTTGTGAGAGATCTTGTATTCTTGTGTTGAGATGTGGGTACCAACATTGCCAACACATTTCTTAGCTTGAAATTTGACAACCAATTGACATGGGGTCAATATTCTTCTTGACATGTCTCACAACTATCGATATTCTTCTAGACCCATCTCACTACATTTAGGTTCTACTACAAAAGTGTGGAATTTTAAGGGTCTAGATTGCTTGAGCTTTGTTGAGAGGATTGGTAGCGTCACAAAAGTGGGACAACCCTCTATTTTCAATTCGACCTAATCACATTGGATCACGAAAGTGGCGTGCGTGTTAGTCCACTGAATTGGTGTTGACAATCATGAAACCCAAGGTTGAGTTTGACCCCCCTTAATCCCTTAGGTTATTGTAACATCTAGAAAGTGATATTCCCTAACTTGAGCCCTATCTTTTCTTATTGTGTTTAGTTCATATTCCAAGTGTTTTAATTAGTGTTGATATGTTTTTCCATGTTTATGAGTGTGCTTGGATTCTTGCGGGTTCAAGGCTTTAGTGTCTAGAAGTTTAATATATAGTTACACAAGTATGTGCCATAGCGCCAATACCATGTGGAACGAAAATTCTTAACCCGTAATACTTTAATCACTATTTTTGACAGTGATCAAAACTCAATGTAGAGAAATTATCACTCAGAGTTTGTTTCTTCCTACTGGGATGGAGTTGTGCACCATGTTTGATATATGCAACAAAGTTCTATGGAAGTGGGGAAAAGATATCAATAGAAATCTGCAACCCAAATTTGAATATTGGAGAAGGAAAATGGAATGGCTAAGAAGTAGAACATATGTATATGGCACCGCGGAATTCTCTATAGCCTAGAAAAATTGCATCAAATTAATTGGGTAGCACAGTAACTTATGGAAATGAAAGGGCTAAAACTTTTTGGCTTAGAGGAGGTGATAGCAACTCCAAAATTTTTCACAACTTAGTCACACAACGTCGAAGGGACAATGCTATCACGAGATTGCGCAGTGATAAGGGGATTGGATTAATCAAGAATTAAATTTGAACAATCAGATTAAAGATTATTATTTGGGCTTGTTCAAAACTGTAGCCCGGACCAAATGCAGTGCTTCAATCTATTAATCTAGTAATTTCAGACGTCCTAAAACAGGGTCTTTCTGCGTGAATTTTCCAAGCAGGATGTGAGGACATTTGCTTTGGGGATGCATCCAGACAAAAGCCCAGGCTATGATGCTCTCAACATGCACTTTCAGACATTCTGGATATATTAGAAGAAAGTATAGTAAGTCTCTATAATGATTTATTTAGAAATGGTAGCTTGCCAATGGGATTGAACACCACTCATATTGTCTTAATCTTTAAAAAGGCCAACCTTGAATCTATTGGGGATCTCATGCCTATAGCTTTGTGTATAGTAGCATATAAAATTATTACTAAGGCAATGGCTAATAGACTAAAACCAACACTAGATGGTTTAATCTCTGAAAATCAGAGTCCCTTTGTGCTGGGTAGATTAATAATAGAAATATGATGATGGCATTTGAAATGCAACCTTTCTTGAGGAGGAAACTCAGGGACGAGATGGTTTTGTTGCGCTTAAGTTTGATATGAGCAAAACATACGACAAGGTGGAATGGTTCTTACTTAGTACCAATCATGCTAAAAATGGGATTTGATAAGAGGTGGGTAAACCTGGTGATCCAATGTGTTCTACTATCAGTTATTATGTGCTTAATCAAGGGGATGAGATAGGCCCAATAATTCTAGAGTATGGGCTTCGCCAAGGGGATCCTCTTTCTCGTATTTGTTTCTCATAATTGCGGAAGGTTTTATTGCGATGCTTTCAAATTATGAAAGAAATGTCAAGCTTAACAACATTACAATTGCAAGATCATCACCTCCTATTGCTCACTTAATTTTTTTATTTTTTATTTTTTATTTTTTTATTTTTGCGGATGATAGCTATGTCTTTTCCAAAGCTAGTTCTATTGAGGCAAATAATCTTAAACAATTATTTCTTCATTATGGCAAGGCTTCTAGTCATATTATAAATTTTGATAAATCCTCATTGTGTTTAAGTGCAAATGTGGTAGGAGGGTTGAGGGAGGCTGTGGGAATTATTCTTGGAGTTAGGAGTGTGTGGGGTACTGGAACTACCTTGGGTAGCCTATGATGGTTAGGAGAAATAGGGGAGAGATCCTGGGCTTTTATTAAGAATAAAATCCTTTCTCGAATTCAAGAGTGAGTCACAAATCGATTTCTGTCTAGAGTTGGGAGAGATGTGCTTTTAAAAAGTATACAAGGCAATGTATTTCCCAAATTCATCCTTCTTGAAAGCAAGAGTAGGGTCAAATCCCTCTTTCATATGGAGTAGCTTAATCCATACAACCATACCTAGGATATGATTAGAAAGAACAAAAGACGGAGGGTTAACAGTCGATCTAAAATTCATATTTGGAAGGACAATTGGGTCTTGGATAAATCCAATCCTAAGGTGACTTCCTTCCTTTACTCTTTAATGGAAAATGCTTGGGTTGAAGATCTTATGATGTCAAACGAGAGGAGCTGGGACGAGGGTACCATCAGGGTAATTTTTTCTACAAGAGATGTGGATCTTATTCTACGAATTCCTCTGGCGAGATAATAGATTCAAGAAAACCTGATTTGGGTAACAAATGAAGATGCATGGGATTGGATCTTTACGGTGAAAAGATGCTATAAGTTCAAAAGGGGTGAACTTCATGAAGAGGATGTGTAGAATGGGGCAGTAGTGTGGCAGCTTAGGATCTATCCCGCCCCCCCCCCCCCCCCCTCCCCAAGGTGAAAATCTTCTTTCGAAACGTTTGTACGAATTGCCTTCCCACGAAAGACCTTTTCCATTCAAGGAAAGTTGAATGTAACGAATGGTGTCTAATGTCCGACTGTGAAAAAGAATCTACCACCCATCTCTTTGTTGAATGTAGGTATGCTAAGGCGTGTTGGAGGCAAATAGGTATGTAGTTGATGGAGTAAAATGAACTCTCTTTCTTTGAGTGGGCTAATCAAGTTGCTACCACTTTAGCCAAAGAGCAATACTGTCTATTGGTGATAATGTGTTGGGAGATTTGGAAACAAAGAAATGAGAAAGTTTGGAACAGCTCCACACTCCAACTAGTGAATATAGTTACAAAGAGAGCCAAAGGTTTTCTGAATGATTGGAGAGAAGCAATGAAGGTTCTAAACTTATCACAACAAACAATCACCCAAGCACAAGCTACATGGACGAAACCCCAATTAGGACTACTAAAGGTAAATGTTGATGCGGCAATTGACAAGGATCGTGCTACAATTGGGTTCGACGGTGTACTCAGGGGTAAAAAAGGCAGCTTCATCGAGGCTAGAGGAGTCCAATAGAGGAGCGTGTTCTCCTCTAGCGAAGCGGATGCAGTAGCCATTTAAGAAGTTTTGAGTTAGCTAAAGGCAAAAAACATGGACAATATTCAAGTTGAATCAGATTCTTTGCAAGTGGTTCAAAGTCTCAATTAGAGTATGGGATCCTATTTTTTCCATTTGATCATTAAGGATATTAAAAACCTATTAAGTGACCAAGACTATGTGATCTAATGGTACCCAAGTTGGACTTCCATTTGGAAGGTTGTGAGTTCGAGCCTATGAATACTACATTGTAATAGAGCCAGTAGCAAGAAAAAAACCTATTAAGTGATTTCTCTAATGTGTTTCATTCTTTGCTAAACAATCAACGAATTGGGTAGCACATAAAATAACTAGACAATTCATTTCTATTCCTAGTTGTTTGGAGTGGTACCATTACCCTCCTATTATTATTTGTAATGTGTTGTGTTCTAACGTGTGTTAATGAAATGTCTTTTCTTAAAAAAAAAAAAACCCAAAAAAACTTTTTGTTATGGAGATTGGGTGAAAAAGCAAGGATATTTGAGTGGAAAATGGAAGAATCACGTGATTTGCTATCATTGAAGTTGGTAAGTGACAACTTTTAATCAAAATATTCTGTACAATTTGGGGCAACTATAAACATCAATCCCAGAACTCAGCACGTGCTTCAGGTCTACTGGTTTGTCAGAGACAGAGAGAGAGAGGACATTAGAAAAAAAAAAGAAGAAAGAGAGAGCAATGAGAAATTGGACAACCATTATTCTTTATGCGGGATCTGCATGTGTGTGTCTCTCTATATATTTATATTTATATTATATGATAAAACATAACAAAGAGCTACGGTTGAATCAGACCTCAAAAATCATCCTATGTTTCGTTTATCAACCTTAACAAAACAAACAGAATCTAACCTTGACTCTTCTCTTTCTCTCTCTAACCCCACGCCCGAGCCTCCATTCTCTCTTTCTCTCTCTCTCTCTATCTGCACCTCCGGGTTCCTCCCATTGAAAGCCATCTGACGATCTTTTGGAGTGAATGTGAAGATCAGACGTGTGAGGGGGCCGGAAACATTAGACACCAACGTTTCTTGAAGACCCAGCAAAAACCCATGTTTTCTGGTCTGGGTGTTTCTCGAAACAACAACACGTCCCTTTCAAGGTTTGAGAATCGGACCTCAATTCTTAGCATGCATATATATGCATCACAATGCGTATATATGCAGCATTGACATTCCCAACAATTGTTATACCTAAGATGATGATGGGGTTGGGGGTTGGTTCTATCAAATGTGGGTTCTCGTCTTCTTCTTCTTCGTTCTAAGCATTCCTAAGATTCTTGGGGCTCATTTTCCCGGATCATAAAGATGGCTCTTTTTCGCAAGTTTTTCTACCGGAAGCCTCCAGAAGGGCTCTTGGAGATCGCCGAAAGGGTTTTTGGTATGTTGTTTTCATCAATTTCTTCAAGCCTGAATCCTATATTAATGAGGTTTTGTTTTTGTTTTACTCTTTATCCTAGTTCGATTCTCAACTTTCTGATGCATTTTCCCTATTTCGATCTCAACTTTAAGATGAATATATGCTTTTGTTAATATTGTAGTGAGATGAACTTACACATGGGAATTTGAATCGAAATTAGAATCAAATACTTGTTAATTAGAATGAGTTTTGGTGAAAGTATTTTGCATGTTTGGTAGCAGAGTGGAATTAGAATGATTACCTATATTGATGTTTAGTTATGTATGAGTCTGTAATTGGAATAAAGGTTTTAAAAATACAAAAATTTAAAGTCAAGGCAATTGATCTTAAGAGTGACGATGAAGTGAGTAGGCAATGCAGTAAGGAAGTCGATGAAGTAAGGAGAAATGAGTGAGAAGGCGACGAAATGAGGATGTGATGAAATAAGGAGGCAATGAAATGAGACCTGTGTTTTAAAAAGTTGTCAACCAAACAATGTGTATGACCCCCCATGAACCAAACACACCATTATTATTATTGTTATAATTTCAAATTGTATGTATCAGAAGCTAATGTGTTTGGATGTGTAGATTATAATGTGTCCGAAGATAATTATATGCTGATTCTAGCTGTTTCTTTGGCTTAACAGTCTTCGATTGCTGCTTTACCAGTGATGTTCTCAAGGATGGTGAATACGACACCTACATGGGAGGCATTGTCCATAAACTGTGCCAGCATTTGCATGATTCCTCATTCATGGTTTTTAATTTTAGGGAAGAGGAAAGCCAGAGCCAAATAGAGTCCATACTGAAGGACTATGAAATGACTGTGGTCAACTATCCGCACCACTATGAGAATTGCCCCATACTCACAATGGAGATGATCCATCACTTTTTGAAGTCGAGTGAGAGTTGGCTATCGCTTGGGCCTTCCAATGTGCTTTTATTGCATTGTGAGCTTGGCGGGTGGCCAGTCCTGGCCTTCACGCTCGCTGCCCTCTTGATATTCAGGAAGCAGTACACCGGGGAGCAGAAAACGTTGGACATTATTTACAAGCAGGCGCCTCGGGAGCTTCTTCAGTTGATGTTGCCCTTGAACCCATTGCCTTCGCAATTGAGGTATCTAAAGTATGTGTCGAGGAGGAATTTGGGGTCCGAATGGCCTCCCCTTGATAGGGCACTTACGTTAGATTTCATCATCCTTCGAGACATCCCTAATGCCGATGGGGAAGGAGGGTGCCGTCCTATATTTAGAATTTATGGGCAGGATCCCTTTATGGCTGCTGATCGGACTCCTAAGGTGCTCTTCTCCACGCCCAAATCGCACAACGCTGTTCGACACTATAAGCAGGTGGTTTCTATCTTTTCACTTCATTGGCTAGTTTAAACATAGATAGTGAAATATCATCTCTTTTAGTCATTTTCTCCCGTTTGTTGTTTCTGATCGAATTGTATTTCCTTTATGGAATGTCGCATATTGACTTGCAGGCAGATTGTCAGCTTGTTAAAATCGGTATCCATTGTCACGTACAGGGCGATGTTGTGCTCGAGTGTATCACCGTGGATGATGAACTAGAAGACGAAGAGATGGTGTTCCGTGTCATGTTCAACACCGCGTTTATTAGATCAAACATTTTGATGCTTAATCGCGATGAACTTGATATTCTCTGGGATGTGAAGGACGAATTTCCACCGGACTTCAAAGCAGAGGTATTATTTGTTTCTCCTAATTAATTTGTGATCATATAGTTGACAATTAATTGGTATTTTCTTTTTTGTTCAAGTAAAGATTCTTTTCTCGGAGATGAATTCTGCTTCTACCATGATAACGCCTACTTTTCTTGATATTGACGACCAAGGAGGAGGTCTTCCTAGTGAGGCGTTTGCCAAAGTTCGAGAAATTTTTAGCAATGTGGATTGGCTAGACCCGAGAACCGATGTGGCTCTAGATATCCTTGAAATCAGAGCGGCAAACATTATTCAAGAAAGGTTGGAAAACATATCTCCCCGGCCTGTTAGAAAGGATAAAATCATCAAGAGCGCTTCAAGTCTGACGAATGAAGTCATTGAGAATTTTATTTGCCAGTCACCAACAGACGAAGATATCGAGACGAGCTTTCTTCAGTTGGCTAGGAAACTAAATATTGGGAGCAGCACTTTTCAAGATGCTATCGAAGGGATAAACTTGCCGAAGAGTACTAGTAAAAAGAAATTCGAAAACATGTTTACCAATTCTGGAAAGTCGGGTCTACTACTGGCTGACCTATGTGAAGAAGGAGCCACTGATGAAGAAGGAGATTCTTTCCCTTCACCCGAGGACACTGCAAAGCTGTTTTCAAAGTTAATGGCGAACGATGGTGAGGCACCAAAGTCCTCGCAATTGGAGAATGATACTAAGCCCCAAGATCGGAAGATTCCTCTTCGTGAGCCTTCTCAATCGGAAGTCACATCTGAGAATGAGTCATCCTCGAATATGTGTTCTGGTTCTAGTGCCCCTAATCCTCCTCCAATCTCGTCTCTCTCGAAGTTCCATGCTGGTGGTGGATCAAATGTTGGCATTACGGGCTTGCTAAAAGAAAACAGTTCCTCGGTGACAATGTCCCCAAGGCATGCCATTTTAGCATCGGTTCCAGGTTTATTAAAGCCTTTGTCACCTAACAAACCATTGGTTCCCGCCATGTCCTCGAGTCAGTTACCCGCGTCACAATCAGCAGCAGCTGTATCTCTTATTACCAGCAAATTGGCATCTTTAATTCCACCTGGCTCGCCTGATCCTCCTCCTCCTCCTCCTCCTCCATTTGCTGGGCCACCTTCATCTGATGGCCAGGATTCCATCAAAGTACCTGAAACTTCTACTGCTCATCCTCCCTGTGCCCCTCCATCGAGTTCAGGGAAAGACCCCGTTCCTGCAGCCTCTTCCGTCCCTCCACCGCCCCGACCTTGTCCACCTCCGCCACCTCCTCCCAACGCAGGATTAGATTCAGGGCATCCTCCACCTCCTCCTGCTCCTTGTCCTCCACCACCGCCACCTTCAGTTTCAAGTGCTAATGCTGTGCCTTCAGCTCCACCGCCACCCCCTCCTCCCGAGGGTTCTACAACTGCCCCACCACCGCCCCCTCCTCCTATTGGTTCTACAAATACTCCACCGCCACCCCCTCCTCCTAATGGTTCTACAAATACTCCACCGCCACCCCCTCCTCCTAGTGGTTCTACAAATAGTAATGCACCTGTTCCACCTCCGCCAGCTCCATTCAAGAATGGACCTGGCGGACCTCCAGCGGGTGGTGGAGGCATACCTCCACCTCCCATGGGTGCAAAGGGGGGGAAATTGCAGGCCCGGGGAGGCGCTAAGAATCAGAGCAAAAGGACGCCCTTGAAACCATACCATTGGTTGAAGATAACAAGGGCTATGCAAGGAAGCCTATGGGCTGAAGCTCAGAAACCCGAGGAAGCTTCCAAGTACTGATGACTGTATTTCTTAATTTCCTTTTTCCTTCTTTTCGTGCCCTCTCGTTCTTGATTAACCCCGATCACTTGTTTTCTTTTCCTTGCCAGAGCTCCTGAATTTGACATGACTGAACTTGAGAGTCTCTTCTCTGCAACTGTTCCAAAGGCAGATGCTGGAAAATCAGGTCGTCGTGCTGCAGGACCAAAGACTGATAAAGTGCAACTGGTAAGTAATCAAGAAACTTTACCTTTCTATCTCATTGTGCTGCTAGTTGCCTAGTTCTAAGTATGATAAAGTGCATTTAGTAACTGTTCAGAGTCCCACATTGAAAATATAAGAGAGAACATTTGGATTTATAAGACCATGGGTTAAACAAAGTTAATTGATTGGATTCAATCTTTTAGTCCCCCTCTTGCTTTTTTAGGTTGAAATGTAATGCATGTTTACATATTGTTTGGAACAAGAACAAAAGTTTCTTATAACAGGTAATGTCCACTGATATTCTTAGAATCTAAGATCGGGACAAGGTCACTCAACTGGGCTATAATGCACATAGGCCAAACCATACTAAAAGATTGAATCCAATCAATTAGCTAGTCTAACTCATTGCCTTATAAAGACATGACTCTTAATAGATATATTGATGACCTTTTATTGCAGATTGATCTCCGAAGGGCATATAATTGTGAGATTATGCTTACAAAGGTTAAGATTCCTTTGCCAGATTTAATGGTCAGCTTGCTGAACTTTCACTCTATGTTCTACTTTTTATTTGCCGTCCTTGAGCAACTACAGGCTTACTCTCTGTTTATTATGCCATCCATCATTAAAATAGACGCATCCTTCAAATATTATAACTCTTTGGTTTGGTGTTTCCACTTTCCATCCCATTGCTCAATTGTACATGACTTATTTTGAGCATTAGCTTTATGCGGTTATTTCGTTCTTCACACTTTTTGGTATGACTAGCAATCTTTTATCATATATGATATATATATATATATATATATATATATATATATATATATATATATATATATATATAGTATCCCGTTCATGTGCGAACTGTCCTTCCCGTGCAAATGTGTGAACTGAAGGAATGCACCGCAACTACTCCATGAATGCACGGCATTGCTCCAGCATGCATGGACCGATGCACAACTACTCCACGAATGCACCACACTACTCTAGCATGTTGAATTGAAAGAATTCACCACAATTACTCCAATGCACCGCACTACTCTAGCATGCCGAACTGAAGGAATGCACCGCAATTACTCCACGAATGCACCGCACTACTCTAGCATGCCTGGGAGCACGTGGAGACCTTGCGATGCATTCATGGAGTAATTGCGGTGCATTCCTTTAGTTTGCACGGGAAGGGCATTTCGCACCTGAACACAAATCTATATATATATATATATATATATATCTTAAGATATTTGCTCTCACCATATCGTTATGCATTTATGCGATGCATTCCTTGCATATATCCTGACAAATATTAGATTCATCTTCAAGTATATGACTTAATATTGATTATTACTCTGTCCTATTTATCAACAGAGTTTAGTGCTCGCTCTAGATGATTCAGAGTTGGACATTGATCAGGTTGATAATCTTATAAAATTTTGTCCAACAAAAGAGGAAATGGAAGCTCTTAAGGTCAATAAATTTTTCGGAGTTATTCTTTATTTTCTCCCTTGTTTTGTCACATTATCGGTATCTGGGGCTAGTGTATCTATAATGAGGTATTGGATGTGCTAAAGATTCGATCATCTCATTCTTTTTTGTGTGTTTCATTTCTAGAATTACAAGGGGGAGAAGGAAAACCTTGGAAAATGTGAACAGGCAAGTTGTTTCTGTGTCATTTATTTGAACTGTCATACGTATAAATCTGGCGCAATCTTAGGTAATTAACATAATTTTGAAATGTCCGTGACAGTTTTTCTTAGAGCTGATGAAAGTTCCAAGGGTAGAATCCAAGCTCAGAGTCTTTTCATTTAAAATTCAATTCGTTTCTCAGGTCCGATGAATAAGTATCCTACCTGTTATCTGCTATTCATCTTTTCTCTTAGCTTGTTTTTTCGCTAGCTAGCTAATTTTCAATATCTATTTAAAAAAAAAAAAAAAAATCTTTCAGGTTTCCGATTTAAGGAAGAGTTTGAATGTTGTGCACTCCACAGCTGATGAGGCAAGTTGTTATTATGACCTTTTTGTTTCCTATTATATTGCTTCTGTGAGAAACTCGGCCCTAATTGTAGTCAGTCATTTTTATCGATCAGGTCAGAAATTCTATCAAGTTGAAAAGAGTCATGCAGACCATTCTTTCACTGGGTAATGCTATGAATCATGGAACTGCAAGGGGTAAGTACAAGATATCCATCATTTGCACGCAAAAGTTATTGAAGAAAAAAAAAAAAAAACAAAAAAAAAGGTTGTGGGTGGGCACAGGTAGCTCAGTTGGTTCCTGGGTGGCAGATTGCAGGATCAAGCCCGTCCTGGCAACTGCAGTGTGGGAGTTACACCTAATGTAGTGGGCTCCTTGTGGGCACGGGTAGCTCAGTTGGTTCCTGGGCGGCAGATTGCAGGATCGAGCCCGCCCTGGCAACCGCAGTGTGGGAGTTACACCTAATGTAGTGGGTTCCTTGTGGGCACCAGGCACTGGTCCTCCCACCTAATGGGCCGCTGATCTGTAGTTGTGCATGCTTTCTCCATGCATTGTTGAGATGTGATGATTAGTATGTTTTATGCCTCAGGTTCTGCTGTTGGGTTTCGATTGGATAGTCTTCTAAAACTAACCGACACACGTGCCCGTAACAGCAAGATGACTCTAATGCACTATCTTTGTAAGGTACAAACAAGCATTATTTCATAATTTTATAGTGTTAATAGTTTTGATCCATTTCATACTATACTACATTTTTGACGTGTTACATACAGTTTTCCTTGCGTGCTTGTTTGTTTGTGATCATAAACGTATATTTATCCCAAACTTTTTTTTTTTGTTCAATGCTCTTTTTTCCCTTTTAAATACCTCGATCTCTCTAGGTTCTCGCTGACAAGCTACCAGAAGTATTGGATTTTTCTGATGACCTTGAGAGTTTAGAGGCTGCATCGAAGGTGTGCACTTCTTTGTTCTTTTCGACCCGTTGGTTGCCGCTATTGCTAACATATATAGTCTTGTATGACGTACATAGCCAGGTATGGTATATAATGCGGTCTGTTTTATGCAGTTACAACTGAAATATTTGGCAGAGGAAATGCAAGCCGTGAGCAAGGGGCTGGAGAAAATTCAACAGGAACTCACTGCCTCAGAAAATGATGGTCATGTGTCAGAGTGCTTTTGCACGGTATGTATGTATATTATGCTCTCTCTCTAGTATAGAGATAAGACGATTTACAATCCTGACCCAAAGCGTCTTAAGGGTCTCTCCCTCCCACATTGAGAAATAAGAGAGGAACATATGGGTTTATACGGCAGGCCATGGGTTAGATTAGCTAATTGATTGGATTCATTACGTTTTTTAGTGTGGTTTGTCATATGTGCATTATATCCAGTTGAGTGACTTTAGCCCAATCTTAGAAGAAGATTATAACACGGCATCAGAGCTGAACAAGGAATGAATGAACTGCATTTAATGGTTTTTATAGATCGAGGATGTTGAAAAAATCGCTAGGCGCCCTCTAGGCACCTGGGGACCGCCTAGGAGGCCGACCGCTTAGCGCCTAGGCGCGATTTTTGCAACACTGGTTTTCTATGTGTTTGTTTCTCACTCACTCACGTGCGCTAAAATTCTCAGACTTTGAAGGATTTTCTTGGCTATGCTGAAAGCGAAGTGAGATCTCTGGCTACATTGTATTCGGGAGTGGTAATGACTTAATGATTTTATTATTTCCTATTGGAATAGTGTTGGTTGTCGGTCGGATATGAACACTAAATAATCTCATGATGGATGTATCTATATATCTTCTAGGGAAGAAACGCTGATGCTTTGGCTCTCTATTTCGGAGAAGATCCTGCACGCTGCCCATTTGAACAAGGTAGGTAACTCACTCCAATCCAATCTGTTTTCTGTTAGGCTAGGATAACAGATCGATGAAGATTCGTTTTCATTGCTGCAGTTGTGTTGACTCTGCTCAATTTCGTGAGGATGTTCAAAAAAGCCCATGAAGAAAACTGCAAACAGCTTGAATTCGAGAGAAAGAAAGCGGAAAAGGAAGCTGCAGAAAATGAAAAGGCCAAACTAAATAACTCTGAAACTCCCAAAAAAGAGTTGGGAGAAGGAAAAACGAAGATGAGCATGGGCACCGAACAATTAATACAACCAGTGTAGCGTTCACAATCCCGTCTGTCATCTTCATTCACCGTTTCAATCTTAACTCTACTGCAAGCTAAGCTGTCCACAAGTTACAACGATCAATATCATGGGATTTTTCATCTCGTTGGCAAAGGCCACCTATAGCTGCAACAAACGGTGACTTGAAATAGAGCCAGCCATCCAGGCATGCAGTAAATATATCACTAGTGACAGATTATTGACAAACGATCGAAAGACCTCGTAGGTTTACAAGTGGTACGCCTTCTTAACCACCCCTTCTTATAATCTATAATGTATAGAAATATTGTTTAGCTCGCTCCAGTTTTCACCTGCAACTTCTTCAATTCTGTCTTTTGAATATACTAATAATGTAGTTCATCTCGTCTAATTTGATGCAGATATATATATATGGAGTTGGGGAGGCATGTAGGTCGGCCACGCTCGAGGAGGTAGATTTTAGGGATTCATTGTAAATATTTCTCTAGTTGAAATGGAATAGTCTCCGTGTGTTAGCATATATATACTAGTATGCTACCTGTGTGATGCACGGTCAAAATTATATTCTTAGTTAATATTAGTAATTGTTATAACATTTATGGTTTGTAAAGTTGATAAGGTTTTAGATGTGTAAATAGTGTGTCAAAGATGGTGTTTTGTTATTGCACCACATGATCTCAACTATATTGATGTAAGCCTAGGTGAAAACATTAATTCTTATCATTTTTTTAATGTTATTCTTTTAGGTGGCCTTCCCAAAATTCTTTCTTTCATTTGATGGCAGCACATTGTTAGTAATTGTGATACTGTCCTTAATGCTTTAGATGATTGTTTTTTTTTTTTTTTTTTTTTTTTTTTTTTTTTTTTTTTTAATATGTTGTAACTAGTATCTGTTTAACAATTATGTCAATTTTAATTGGTGATTGATGGTTAATACCAAAGAATTTAATGTTTTCTATCGTGATCCTTATGACCTGTTTGGTTCATAAAAAAATAATTAAAAATGAATAAAATTTAAATTTTATTGAAGAAATTATTGAAAATATTGATTTCATTTTTTGATTGGATTTTGAATTAAAAGGAATGAAGACTAATATACTCTTAAACAATAATAATGATAACAAAAGTAATATTAATTTATATATCAAGATATTACGGAGTATAAATTTAAAAATTTTAAATTTTAAATTAAAACATTATAACTATATATTTATATTTTATTATAATAATATAATAAATATTAAAGCAATATTTAAATAAGCATTATTTGATAACTTTCACTCCAAACTATGCTCAATACAATTAAGCTATATGAGAGTAGTTTGGTCATGCTAGCATTGCTAGGTTGAACTTTTCCAAATACCATGGAATAAAAGATATATAAGATGACCAAGAAAATATTTTTCTCATATATGAAGAATTCAAGTTCTTTTGGATAAAAATTTCAATGAACCAAACAAAAGTATAATTTAATTTTCCTCTACTTTTAAGAATTTTAGTTCCTCAAAAAAAAAAAAAATTAAATGAACCAAATGCCCCCTTATGGTTGTGAAGGATGAGAAAGTAACCAGTTTGAGATGCTCTTGAATTGACGAGACAAATCTTGTTTGGTGTAATGTATTTTGAATAGTTGATTGTTAAATCAGGACGGTATTTGGAAGATAAGTAAAATTAATTTTTATCAATTATATGGCGGTGCCCATCGCTTTGGGTCCCACCATAAAAATTGCTTATCTTTTTGCCATGCAAGTCACCACTTTTATCCGTTCTACGTCTCTTCTGCTCCATAATAGTGATAATGGCTAAATCATTGGGCTTATCCTTCCCTAACCCATACTTTAGTGCCCTATCATGCCCGTGATTGTTAGAATCAATGACTAAATTGATTAAAATCACTATAGTCGATGATTGAATTAGGTAAAACAGATATACTTGAAGACTAGTTTGGGTAAAAAACTAAAAATACTATAGTCGAGGACTGAATTGAATATTAATAAAGATAAAATTACCAAACCATCTTAACAAGTGACTCAATTGGCCAAAACATCAAAGTCAATGACCTAATTAAGCACAAAAAGTTATTTAGGACTAAATCGAGAAAAAACCACTATAGTCAAAGACTAAATTAAGTATTTACACTAGAGGTGGCCAAACACCAAAGTCAGAGCCTGGGCCAGTTTCGTGCCAGGTCTAGGCCGATTCTAGGCCTAGGCTCGCAAATTATGCCATGGAATCGTGTTCACCGAGAATGGTGAACACAAGGCAAAACAACGTCGTTTTTAGGCCAAAAAAAAAATAATTCGCGGATGTGGAGTTAACCGCGCGCGTTTGATCAAATTATGAATTTTCTGTTATGAGATTATGAATTTTATGAAAGTTCATAATCTCATAACAGAAAATTCATAATCGCATAACAGAAAATTCATAATCTCACAACTGAAAATTCATAATCTCATAACAGAAAATTCATAATCTTATAACAAAAAATTCATAATCTCATGGTTCCAAAGTGAATGTGTAGGCATGGTTCCAAAGTGAATGTGCAGGCATGGATTCATAATTTATGAATGTCCGTGATTTCGGACGGGAATATGTAGGCATGGTTCCAAAGTGAATGTGCAGGCATGAATTCATAATTTATGAATGTCCGAAATTATGAATGTAATGAAAATTCATAATCTCATAACAGAAAATTCATAATCGCATAACAGAAAATTCATAATCTCATAACTGAAAATTCATAATCTCATAACAGAAAATTCATAATCTTATAACAGAAAATTCATAATCTCATGGTTCCAAAGTGAATGTGTAGGCATGGTTCCAAAGTGAATGTGCAGCCATGGATTCATAATTTATGAATGTCCGTGATTTCGGACGGGAATGTGTAGGCATGGTTCCAAAGTGAATGTGCAGGCATGAATTCATAATTTATGAATGTCCGAAATCTTTGTTCACCTCAAATTAAAGTGAAACCGCAAAATGTGAAAATAAAGAAGAAAAGTCACGCAATTAATTAAAAAAAAAAAAGAAGAAGATAACGGTGTACTAACACCGTTAGAACCGTGTTCACCATGAATGGTGAACACGGTTCCATGGCATAACGTCTGGCCTAGGCTAGCACGGACTCGAACCGACCCTGAATTACCTGGGCCAGTCTTGTGTCGGGCCTAGCCCGAGTCGATCCGGTGCCCAGTGCCTGGGCCCGTGCCTTTCGTGAGCCGGTTCGAGGCTAGGCCCTAATAGTCCACCCAGATGATAAAGCTAGAGAAAGAAGTAACCTGACAGTAGTAGGCTTGACCACTGGATTGAAAGTATCGAAAAAATCTTGTCGCACCTGATTAAACCCCTTTGTTACAAGTCGTGCTTTATGTCTGTCAATGGAGCCGTCTGCCTTTCATTTTGTACGAAAGACCCGCTTACACCCAATAATATTCATACTTGCCTGTGATGGTACAAGATGTCATGTTTAGTTCTGGAGAAGAGCATTAAATTCTTAATCCATAGCTTCACGCCATTCTGGATACTTAATTGCCTGAGTGTAACAAGTAGGATCTGAAGGAGAAACCTGAACCGTTAAAGCCGACGGTGGAGCCTAAAACTAACTCCGAGTGCTCATGGGGCCAGAGGTTGGCCACGGAGCCGTTTAGCCGGGGCCAGATTTGTGGACTTCACAGATTTGCCTCGAGGTTGGCCACGAGGCTGTTTAGCCGGCTAGACTGACTATTCATTCGATTTGTGCTTGGGCAGGCTAGGCGGCTCGTTGGCGGTGTGCAGTGGCGAAGGCGGTGCGATGGCAGTGGTGCCGTGAGATTGCACAAGCGAAAATCCGTGGGACAAAAAACCGATTCAGCCCACGGAGAAGTCTGTAAGCCTACAAGGTATTTTTAGTAGCAAAGGGATAAACTGTTTCATTAAATCTTACATGTCTGCATACATAAATCTTGTTAGTCTGTAAGTCCATGCACCTATACCCCCGAAACGACTCAGGATAACCTAGGAAGACACATGGAGAGAACCAATATGACCCTTTGTGACGATTGTATGGTTTGAGATACGGATACCATAGACACCCAAAGACACGAAGAAAAAAAAATAGGAGGAATGGGAGTTATATATGTGGTAGGATATATCCCGATCAACATAGCTTGGTTTCCCTCGTTCATTGTGCAGGTTTTATAGGTCGGATATTCTTAAAAAGACGGTCGAACCCGACCGGTGGATTTCTCGACCAGGGTCTTTATTGCCCACATAATTTTCATTTTCTGCTGCTACATGTATTTTGATTTTGTATAATGGAATACCGTATAGTAGCACTCCATGTTTTAAGGCAGGAAAAAAAAAAAAAAACCAAAATCGGCAATATACGAGGAAATTGAACCCGACATGAATCGTACGAGGAAATTGAACCCGACATGAATCAAACACACAACCTTCTGATTTGGAGTCAGACGCGCTACCATTGCACCACGGATCCACCGTTGAATGTTAACTGCTTCTGGATTAGATTACGTATATTCTGTATTTACACTAGTACGTACATGCTTTATACTTGTTTTCTTTCATTTGAATTAAATCCACTCTTAGTTGCATGATTACAATGACATATTCATTCTTACTCCGTAATAATTAACAATTTTTTTTATTTAAATATGATCAAATAATTAATTGATGACTAAATATAAAAATATTATTGTAATCTTGTAATTAAAAGTAAAATAATTAATTTTCTAGTTAGATTTCATCTTAATTTAACACGAAACAACAAACTTCTTTTATGAACGAATAACTAGCTTCACCTGTGTGAACTACGACAAAGCAACAAGCTTCATCTTTGGTCTTTGCTACTTCGTCTCTGATCTCCGAGACTAGGCAAAAGACTTTATGTCTTGAATGTTGGTCGGGCCCGCGGGGTCGATCGATAGCTTCGAGGAACTGGCCCGACAGTTCTTAACACACTTTGCCGGAAGCATGAAACCTAAGAAGTTTGTATCAGATTTGTATCGGGTACACCAAGACGAGGGAGAAAGCTTACGCAAATACATAGCACGTTGACAGAAAGAGGCCCAGGACAGCCCTGACATTCTTCATCGAGTTCTTAAGGGCAGACAGGTATTACAGCAAACTACGAGATGAGAATCCCATGACATATGTTGAGGCTATTCAAAGAGCTAACCAATTGGTTGACACGGAGGAGGTGGTCAGGCAAAAGCGCAAACCGGAGGTGTCCTCCCACAAGAGCCTCCGGGCGGATAATTACCGCGATGGTCGGACGGAGGATGCCGGGAACATCCGTGTGAGAGCTCGCCGGGTGCAAGACCGGTTTGGAGCACCCGCCTTTCGGCCGACTGCCCAGCCCGTCCACGAAGTTCACACCCAGCTACCTCCACCTCCGCCCATTCGGTCGGGTGATAAACTACAAGTGATCAGCATAGACGCCGCCCCTTACTGTAGATATCACCACACAAATACTCATACCACAGAGCATGTAACATTTTACAATGTTATATATTTTAATTTTGTTGTTGTTTTTAAGTTTGAATTTTTTAATATAATATATTTTGTAATTATATTATTGAATTTCTATATTATAGATTTAATACTTATATGGAATACTAATTAGTGGTCAGTTTTTTTTTTTAATTTTATTTTTTTAAATTTAACACGGACAAATTCTGTCGATAAAGTGAATAACGACGGATTTTTAAAACAACGAGATTTTTTGTTGCTATTTTCACCTTTTTTTTGTAGTGTTTGATTT